CCTCAGTGGGGAAGAGGACGCTCGGGAAGGGAGACAGTGACATTTTTGCGCTGCATTTCATAAGCAGTTCTGGCCCCAAGGCAATGCTGCAGCCAATTTTTTTTTCTCTGCTGTTTGGACCACTGATCCGCAAAACCACCTTGTTTCTTGCTTCCTTCCTACTCCCCACCCACACTTTTGGGTATCTTTTAGCACACGTATTCCCATGGCACAGGTTACGCCTGTTTTAGACTTTCTTACCATCTCTGCAGCAGTAAAAGATGTCAGGGAACCTCCTGATCTAGCTCTGATGGCCAGAGGCGAGAATGTGTCTGTAGTAACCTGGGTGTTGTCCCAGGCTCTGCTGGATAAATGCTGGCGAGTATTTCACCGTCACACTTTTAAACACTTGGTTGAGAATTTGCATTTGAGAATCTGCGTTGAAAGCAGACGTTAGCCCAGAAATCATGAGATTTACTGTGCCGTTCTGCACTGTCGTTATGAACAATGGAATACTAGTGGGTTTCTGTATAATTTTCGTACAAATTTACACAAAGATGCCTGTCATCTGCAGCCTTACTGGGCAACTGCCATCTTTATGGAAGGCAGGTCAGGGACTGTAGCAGAATTCAGGCCTTAGTTCTCCATGGTCCTTGGCTTCTGCTGACATTGGCATCCGCGGTGCAGCTCAGCACCAGCTTGGTTCAAGTCTTGCACCTCAGGTTGCTGCCTATGCGGTGCGGTACAACTCCTTCAGTAGCATGGGCCTCTAAACCCACTTCAGGAGCGACACTTACATCGCCTAGCAGCTGAACGTGGTTTACGAGCATCAGAAAACCGTTTCTGTCTCAGCAGCATAGAGTGGTGACGCCGCAGCACAAAACAGATGAAGGTGGCAGGGGCTATTCACGCATGGGACACCTAACCCAGGCTCTCCCAAAGCGTTGCCTCTTTGCCATTACTGAGGCTTTTTGTATTCTGAACATTCAGCTCTCTGTACTGCAGTGAAATCCGATGGTTGGGGGGAAATACCCAGTTCTGTCCAGGTAGTGCCTGAATCTGTTCACACCCTGTTTTGTGACAGAGTTCTTAAACAGACTTCCTATTGCTGCAGTTGATTTCTTTTTTCCCTTGCAGTAGTCACAACCTGCTTTCACGAGCAGTTATTCTGAGCAGTTGCCCCCAGCTCACCAGAGTGCAGCCTACATATGCGCTGATAAATTCCTTCTCTGTGGTTATTTACAGTGTTAATAAATTAAACTGAAAAGCAGCACCCCCCTAGCAAGAAACGTCTGGCATATACTCCCACTGCGTTTCAATAAAACGGCATCGACACAAAAGCCTAAATAAAAATGTGACTATGTGGGTCACCTGCCCCTGTTTCAAAGCAGAAGATGCTACTTTACCAGGCAGAGTAGTCAGATTAGATGCTACCAATACACTGGGACTCGATGATGAAAAAACCCAACACAATATTGCAGGAGGGTTTCGGGTGGTGTGAGAAGGTACTCCTGAAGCTCAGGCTCGTCAGCTCAGCTGATGTTTAGCCCCATCCTTCACAACTGACAAGAGTAATCAGCCACAAAGAAAAAAAGGCATCACGATGCCGAAAGCTGGAACGGAAACTGCGAGAACAGGGCAGGATGGGAGAAGGAAGGCGTAGAGCCCAGCCTAGCAAAGCCCTTTAGTATGTACCTCGCTTTAGTGGGTATTTGCATGCCTGAAGCCAAGCTGAGGCCTGAAAATAGTGCTCGGTATTTGCACATACACAAGTGAAGGATTTCTTTTCCTTTTTTCTCCCCCCCGCCCCCCAAGTTCAAGATTTCTGGAAGCTGCAAGAGGCTGTTGCCAAAGTGTTGCTTTTTGCTCCCAGAGGCAAGGGGTCATAGGAAGGCACCGCTTGTTCCAGCAACCCCATGGAGCTCCGTGGGACTGCGGGTGACCGGGCTGCAGCCGGATCACGTGGCAGTGTTAAACTCTGTA